ACTCATACAGACACAGGGACATGCAGGCATGCGCACGTGGAGGAATAGCAGGTCAGAGAACATGCATGTTCAGAGTGTGCACTCATACAGACACAGGGACATGCAGGCATGCGCACGTGGAGGCATGCACACGCAGAGAACATGCATGTTCAGAGTGTGCACTCATACAGACACAGGGACATGCAGGCATGCGCACGTGGAGGCATGCACACGCAGAGAACACGTGTGTTCGGAGTGCGTACTCACAGACACAGGGACATGCAGGCACACTCTTACAGACTTGCCCTCCCATGCACCAAGGTCCCCCCGAGGCACCCCACATCTCCCACCATCCCTCTTGTCAGCTCTGAGCACGCATACAGATGCCTAAGCTCAAGGGGGCCTCAGGCTCTCCCCATGGAACTAGCTGGCCATGACCCTGCAGCCCAGTCATCTGTGACCCTGTGACCATGTTGTGGGGGATTCTGTCCTTCCTGACCACCCAAGGCTGCAGGGCAGGGGAAGCCCCAAGCTCATCTGGGAGCCAAAGGAGGTGCCCACCCCTCCCTCCCTCCTTCCCTGCAAGCTCAAGGCGGGGGTGGGATAAGCTGTCCCCAGATCAGGAGGGGTGCAGCAGCACCAAGCTCACCTCTGCCTCGTGGACAGAGTGAGGCCTCTGACACCAGGGTGCCCACAGCTCAGAGTTGTGGGAAGCCGCAGGAGAGTATGAGCCATAGGGGGCCACAGACACCCACCTGGCCAGACCAAGGCCCTTCAGAGGGACTTTCGCAAAGGCCAGGGGTGGTGGTCGCTTACCAGGTGGCCCTCTCAGCTGCAGCAGTGGGCCATGACAGGTCCTGGCCGGCCATGGGGCGGAGAGGTGGCCGGCTCAGGGCGAGGGACCCGCCGAGCCGAGCCGCCCACCCTCACTTCCAGGCTGAGCGGCTCTGAGTCGGCGGGAGACCTTGCCAACACAAGCAGGCTGCGGTGTCTGCCCCTGCCGGGCCCCAGTCCCCACCCAGGCCCCCACCTGGGGACGGCCACACCAGCACTGGGCGCCAGACAGGCTGGTACAGAGAGGTGGGGCTGGGTCCTGCGCACAGCCTGAGCAAGGCCACCTCTCCCACCCAAACCCACTCCGAGGAGGGAGGCCGGGTTGGGGCAGGGTGCGGGGTGGGGTCCAGCTCAGCACTTTCCCACCACTTCTCCCCCCACTTCTCTGCCGGGGGTCACATGGTAATTAGGACCCTAGGGTCACCTTGCCAGCCACCCCAAGCTGCAGAAGTAGCCCCACCTGAGGTGCCCGTCCCCCGCAGCCCGGGAACCCCTGAGCCACCTGGACCCCTGTAGAGCAGTCTCGGGGTCACAGGGGGCCCAGGCAGCTGAGATGGCAGACAGTGACATCCACGAACACCACCACTGGCAACTCAGGCCCCAGCACTGAGAGGAAGCCTCCAGGGCAGGGTGCACTGACTCATGCTGGTAGGCCAGCAGGGTGGCCGGGTGAGAGTCCGCGCAAGAGAGGTGTCCCAGCATGCCTGTGCATGGCCGCACGCGCAGCAGCACGCCTTCCCACCACACACGTGTGGGTCAGGCTGCAGCGTCCCAGGAGAACCACCATCATAACCCTCCCCAAGCCAAAGTCAGGCCCCACGGCTGGGGACGGGGACCCTCCTGAAGTGCAGTTCTAGTCCCACCTAAGCTTTGTAGGTGGGGAAACTGAGGCTGGTCCAAGGCCAGGGGCAAGGACTGCAGAATCCTGGCCGGCCACTGCTCTGTCCCCTGGCTGCCCGGAGCCCTCCCCACCGCCGGCCCCTGGCCTGTTCCAGGGCAACACTCAGGGTGGGAGGGGCTCAGCAGCTACAACTTCAGTCCTGGGTCTCCCCTGATCCCCTACCCCGACGTGATCCCTCCTTTGGCACAAACGGCCGCCCTGCGCCCCTGCACCCTTGGCCAACCACGGGGCATGGGGCACCTCGCCCTCTGGCCCATATCCGACCATCCCACGGGGGAGGATCCTTACCTTCCCCTGAGCCTGCTGGTTCCCTCTGCCCAACTCACCTGTGGAGGGCCTGGCCCAGGCCCCAGTCTGCCCGTCCTCAAACACACGAAGGGGGATAGGCCACCAAGGGATGTGACAGGGGCAGGTCTAGCCTGATCCACAAGGGCGGAGAGAAGCAAGTGCCCGAGAGGCCTGGACACACACGTTTGTTGAGGGGGTGCGTGAATGGGGGCATGCCTGGGGCTCACGGGCCTCTCCTGAGAGTCAGGAGCTGGAGGAAGGAGCCAGGAAAGGGAAGACCGCCATCGCCCCGAATTGGCACACACTGGCAAGCGTGCGCCCCGCGCAGCGCACATACACACATGCACGCACGCACGCGCTCTCTCACTTGGAATCCCAGGAATGTCAACTTGGCCCTTTATCCTCCCTCAACTCTCCCAGAGTAAACAACTCCTCCAGGCAGGAGCAGGGGCAGGCCAGGCCTTGGGCCCCTCCTCCAGGAAGCCTTCGCCCCACCCATTCCCAAGGGCCCACCCTACAGACTTCCCGGATCCCACTCCCCTGTGTCCCTCACCTCCGCAGCAGCCGGCAGCCTCTGCAACTAAGCTGAATCTGACCCTAAGCCACAGTGACTCACAGCCCCAGTCCTGCCCCTCTGGCCAGGGCAGGATGTGCGTCCACTCAGTCTGGCGGGGGGCAGGGAAGGGAAGTGGCCTTGGCTCGTGCTTCTGCACGTGGCTGGGTGGGGGATGGCAAATGCCACAGGGAGGCTGCCCGGGACCCAGGCAGGGGTAGGGGTGCAAACCTCAAGCGGAGAGTAGCTCGAGCTGGCCCCACTCTAGATCCAGACCCACTTTGGCCTTCAGCCCCTTCCTCTGGGGCTAAGGCTGGAGCCCAGCACGCGTCCCGAGAGCAGTTGGACCCAGGACAGGCACCGAACCATCCAGATGCCCTGATGCCAACAAGCCTGCCCAGGGTACCTCTGGCGCCTCTTTACAACACGCCCACACACACACAGGCCAAAGCTCACCTCCTCTGGGTGCTCCCTGGTCTCACTGCACACTGCCCCCCATCCCTCCCATCTCCAGCAGCTGCCCCCAACACAGCAAAAAGGGTGGTGTCCGGCTCACCCCACTCCATCCCAGAGCCACAGGGGTCCCATCCCTGAAGTCCTCAGTAGCCCCATGACCTGCAGGGTGCAGCAGACTGTCACTTCCAGCTGGTCCTACACATACAGCCTCCGGGGTTGTGCCCAAGGGTTCCCTATGCCAGGATCTTCAGTAGCTCAAAGGGTACCTCTTCCAAGACGCCCTCCCTGACCACCCTCTCAAACCCCACCATGGAATGTCCCAGTGGTGGGCTACTCAGCACAGCCTTGCCCAGGGCTGGTGTATACTTCTCCGCACTCTCCCAGCCCTCTGCCTCGGGAAGGAGCCGACAGGAACTCAGACACAGGCGGATCCATGCGGCGCAGCGGAGAGCCGCAGCCAGGTGGGTCGCAGTCCTGACCGGACCGCCTCCCTCCTGCCCGCTGGATGACGGTGACTACCCTCATGTGCTGCCTGAGCGAGGCGAGGTGCCGGGGTGGCGCCCGAAAGGGAATAGGCCGCATTCGGGAATGGGACACCCCAAACTGGACAGAGGGGACCGCCAGCAGTCCGCGGGCAGGGGCTCGAGGCAGAGGCACTGCCCTCTCGGCCGGGCCCAGAGAGGCGGGGGGACGGAGGCCGTCCGCCGCCTGGTATCCATCTGGCCAGGCCCTGCGGGGATCGCAACGCCCCGCCCCGGCGCCGCCACTTGTTGCTACACCGAAGCTCCGCGCTCAGGGCTCGAACTCGCGCACTCAGGCTCGCGTCGGAGTCCTATCGATCCAGGTTAGGGCCCGCGGGTGGCGGGACCGCGGCCGCATCCCCACTTTCGGACGCCGTACCTAAACGCTCAGTCCGCAGCCTCGGGATCCAGCGGCCGGCTCCCGCCGCGCAGCTGTCAGTCATGCGGACACGAGAAACGCGATCCGCCGCCGCAGAACACTTGAGGCCCCTCTCGGGCGCCGTAGTGCGGGATGTACCAAAATAGCGGATGGGGAATGTTGTCAGTTTCTGCCGCGGATGCGCGGGCTCCGGGAGCTCCGATCCACGCGAACAAAACTCGCTGTCATAGCAGGAATCAAACCGCAACGGTGCTGCTGGCCGGCGGGCTTGGGCCAGGGCCGCACTTGGGCGGAATCGACCCCCCGCGCCAGTGGACGTGCCCGAGGCGGGGTACATTAGAGCGGCGCACGGTCGCGTCTGGGCAAGATCGTCGGCAACAAGTGGGAGGCCTACCTGGGGCTGCTACAGGCCGAGTACACCGAGGGGTGAGGCGCCCGGGCCGTGGCGGGTGGCGGGGGTCCCGGCCTGCAGCGCGAGCGACAGCAAGGGCCGGGGTTGCGGGGGGGGAAGGGGTCCTGGCCTTGCTGG